TGAGAAAAGCACTGTTGAAACTAATTGAACTAATTAATAACTCGGTAAATTTTGTGCTATAAAATTGTCGATAATACACGACTAATTTAATAATTGTTAGAAGCGAATCTAATTTTCGTAAAATTAGAGAGAAACATGCAAAACCAAGTTCAAAAACAAGTTGAATATTACGCTTCATCTTCTGACAATTTCTCATCAGGTTCTTTGTGTCGACGTAAAATTTCATTTGTATGTGGGATCGTTTTCTATGACATCGATCATTTGAAAACGAACAAATATCGTGATCAGAATTTAATTCGTGTCACACGCAGCTGGAATTTCCCGTTAAGCAAACTGAAAATTAGTGTCGCGGCAGTTTATCGACTAATGGACACCAGAAAACATTCCAATTTTCGACCCGTTTGACGCGGTTTATACGCTCGACTTATAAAAAGAAAAATTAATCGAAATGGGACCCGAGCTTGCTTTCGGAGTTTTTGGCGCGTCGCGGTTCGCTCGGTGGAAAACTCGATGCCGCGCTAAAGGGAGGAACGGGTAAGGGGAGTGATATATTTTCCTATCGATGACGCGGCTCAACGAAGCGTTTGTGCGACGTGAATACGAGTTATGTGGTATACAGGTGACGAGGAACATTGGTCGCCTCTGGGCCGGTCGGTCCAACTTATCGCTCGTAGTTGAGGACGGGGAGCAGCGGAGTACGTCGAATGATTAACGACATACCCACTCCCGCGGTTGGCCCTGGTGCAACGAAGCGACACGGAACTTTCGAAAGCTTGCATTACCAGAGACCGGCAGCTAAGTTCCGTCTCTCGGATCGTTTGAGACGGATTAAAAGAAATATTGGTGATCGATATGCGGTTTCGACGATGTCGATTAAGGTAGCCATTGGGCAATAGTTGCTGTAATAGTTGTGTTTTGCCGCTGCGGAACCGCGGGATCGACCTTCTTGACCGAACTTGAGAGATTATACGGGAATATCGGTTTCACGGTGCTACGATACATTGTCTAATTGTAAGCTATATCACACTGCGATGAAAAATGTGCTTTTAATTCGTGAAAAAAATTTATGGACTTTTTCGTTTCTAAAAGTTACAGCGAACAGAAGAGATTACAGTTTTTATCCTAACTGTTTGTGTTTGTATTTAAAGAACAAGGCTCTCTCTTAAATAAGCTAAAGTGTAGTCATAATAGCTTTACAAACTCATAAATGTTTAATAAAGTTTCTTATACAATTCTAATTCAGAATATTTCCTGATTGTTGGTAGCATATTGTTCGTTCTGTAATATTCCGTGTACGAATTATCTCCGATCTATATAAAAATTCAAGTTATTTTCTATCAAAGCCTTAAACGATCTAGCTGGATCTTAATGCTTGTGTGATACTTGAGTGAATTTATATACTACGTATGTAGATCCCAGAAACGCGCGCCGAAATGATTTTTCGGTCTTGAAACGCTTTAATTCTACTAAACTATCGCAATAATATTACGAAATTAAATTGACGAATTAAATTTTTCAAATAAAAAAAAATTTCTCTCCCTGTTTCTAGAAACTACATACGTAATAATAAATTCACACAAGAATCATACAAGCATTAAGATCCAGCTAGACCGTTTAAGGCTTTGATTTTTACAGTTTGTGTTATCACATATACTATCCTATAATATATTATATTGTTTATTTTCTATCAATTATTTTCTATTTTCTAAGTAAACACAATCACTGTTTCTAAAATAGCAAGAGATAGAAAAATGTTATTGAGAACAATTAACAATCAATACTTTGTTCTTGCTGTGAGGTTGCGAAGAAAGTATTAATTGGAAAGAATTAATTGTTGAGAAAGTATTAATTGGAAAGAATTAATTGTTGCTTGATAATATATTGACATAACACATTAATAAGAAATTAACGAAAAAATTATATGTTGCATTTCTTGAGAAAGACATGTAATTACGCACAAGTAATAGACATAATTTCGTACAAGTAATTTTCAAAATGAAATACGTGCAAGTTTTATGTATCACTTGATATGATGACAAAGAAAATCATTCGCTTCAGCGTTACGTTGCCGAAGTTATCTTTCTCGTGAAAGGAAAGAACAGCGCACTGAGAGAATGATTAACGACGGCTTCGCTCGTCTGGTTCGTGCAACATTCCGGCTTTTCGAGACAAAACTTTTTGAGAGTATATATTCGAATGTGTGTGTGTGTGTGTGTGTGAATGTGTGTATGCATGTGTGTGTGGCAAGTAAGTTTCGTTTCCGGTTTGCGACCATGTGCTCTCATTCGCACAACGTGCCGTGGATACTTCTGCTTTTTGCTTTTCGCGGTGCTTTAAAGTCGAGCAAACAACATAGGACTAAACGATTTCAGAAACTTTAAATGTTTCTCATGGTCTTTTCTTTGGAATACGATACTATTGTCCGAGCAATTCCGTAATAGTAAATATGTATAACTGCGACAGATATTTTTCTCTCTTAGCGATCATGTTATATTTATTGTTAAGATCTAAAGAAAATAAGAATAAAATAGAAAAAGGGAGAAAGAATGTTGTTGAATTTATAAACAGCAAAACTGCGTTCATGTATTGAAAAGTAATAAAATATATTTCAATATATTTTCATAACATTTCTGAAATATTTCTTCCCGTTACACTTCTGTTTAATCGATATTAAATACTTTTTTAATATTCATTTTATATTTTAAATCAGCAAAACTCTGACAACGAATTTTAACCTCTATGCAAAATAAGTTTATCTTATTTACCATATCAATTTAATAATTGTACATATCTATCGCGCGCAGTTTTCTTGAAACTATCGTCGAAATAATTTTTCTCTCCGAGCTTCGTGCGCACGAACTTTGGGACCATTTTCTTTCTACCGTCTGCAGTATCACTGTGCTCATATCTTCGACGAAAGTATGTCACTTAAAATTGGAAATCGCGTTGGATCGCGCGCTCGTGATAAGACGCGCTTCGAAACTGTTCTATTTCTAGATTTCAATTTTCTGGACCGCCTACTTTGATTTTCCGTTTAACTAAAAGTGCGTCTATAAATGCGAAAGAGTCGCGGGGTAAAAGGCGTACCGCCAGACAATGTTTTAACTTCGCCATTACTCTCGGTCGTTCCGACGCGACGCGAGAAACGCGCGCGAGTGTTACCGAAAGAGTAACACCCAGGAGATAAATTTCGACTGCGCGTGGGATGGCAGAAGGGAGGAGACGGTGAATCGATCTTTCTCTTACCTGATTCGAAGATTACCTCGCTGAGCATGATCCACCGTGCGGCGAAGTAGAGCTGCAATTTTAGGAAGCGGCCGGCGCGCGAATGCAGCTTTATGGTGACCTCGCGCGCCTGTTCAAGAACTTGATCAGGTATGTAAGAGAAATGGACAGGTTCGCCGGTAAACTGGTTGCCACCTGTGCCGAGATAGACCTTCGCGTACGAGAAAACCTGCGAAGACATCACAAAAATTATGTAATGTGTGAGCGGAAGGTGACTAACTTTTCAAAAAGAGAAAAAGGGATATATAAAAAAAATTCAATGTGCTGTAATTAGATTTTAATAGATAAACATTTTTTATATTGTTTTGTATAACTATATGTAATGAACAATATTATGTTATTATATTTAAAAAATCTTTCAAAAAGGATAAATAATCATGTCTTTAATTTGAAACAAAATTTGGAACGCGTTGTAAAGCGAAGACGAAAAGATAAAATTTGGAACTGTCCTTTCTAATTTGGGACGGTTGATTATCTTACTTTACGGAAATGGAATTAAGCGATTGGATGATGCCCGAATGAGGAAAATAATCATGCATTGTATTGCTTCTTCGCTCCGAGGATGTTTCTATCGTTCATAAAGTCATATTAGATATGGACATATATATTGTTATATAATACAGTAGGGGAAATGCATGATGTGCTTGTTTTAGAGAGATAAGCTGCGCAGATGATAATTTAGCGAGAGACATTTAAAAATTCGCTATCGATGAATGAATGATTAAGCGAACAGACGGCAAATATCGCACTAAATCGTAAGGAAAATGTTTTTAAAACCGCGTAAAAGCACGAAAGCATCGGCAAAGATGTGATCGTGAAATTTACGATAGTTCCTGGAGCTCGTAACTTTCGAAATAATACCGGTAACAGCGCGAATGGCGATACCTGCACGTCCTTCGTGAAGTAATTGTTCATGTGTAGATGTATGGCAGTGAAGTTCCTCGAGTAGTCGAACTCGAAAGTTATTTCCACCGGACGTCCAAGCATGTTGGGTGTGTCGTTTCGCCAGCCGACCCATTCGTATCCTTGAATACACACGAACGAATTATTCGTTATAATACCTCACAATTTTGGATAATCTTGAAAAAAATCTAGAGTTGTGCCTCTTGTTGTCGTTAGTTAAAATTATAAGATTATAATCTGTTTTCACAATATAGAGTTAAAATAAAAGTTATCAAGAAATTCATGAATTGATGAATCTCTCAATAACCTTTAATCTTTAAGTTTAATCACACTGAAGAAAGTACTGAATTTTAATAAATATTTATTTAAGTAGTAATATAGTTCTAAGTAAATATTTATCAAATGTAAATGTATTATTTGATACATTAATTTAATTATTATATTTTTTATTGAATAAATATTTACTTATTGAAAGTAAAAAATTTATTTATTATTATTTAAAGAAATATGTATTAATATTTAAAAAAATTTTTTCAATGCATATATTGTGAAAACAAGTTTGTAATGCTCTTGATTTTAAGTTAATAAAATGTTGAGGATTACTACTGAATTTATAATAAGAAGACGAACTCTTTTGTCTATTCAAATCTCTTTTTAACAAAAGATCCATTCCTAAGCCTAAAATCAATTTACTAGTGAAAAATTCATTCCAGCATGTGTATATTAATATATACGTAATTTTTATACGTTAAATTTCTGTTACGCTTTTTGATATTTAACAATAATTGAAGGTTGTATGTGTGCTATATTAAATTCATCTTTTACGCTTCATGGAGAGAACATATCCAATAAAAATTGTAATCTATATATGTCACGTAGGAAAGTTCCGATACATACGTTTGAATTTAAAAAAAAAGTTTTATGTTGCGGGTTGTATGATACGGTAAACCATTTATAGGTGCGGTGCACGCACCTATAAACAAGACAATAAAATCTGTAACGCGAATAGTGGACAATTCGTGCGTGACATCGAATTTATTTGAATGTAGCGTAAACGGAAAACATATGCATGAAAAACAAATATCTAACATTCCTATGGTAAATACATGTCATATATATCATGCACAAATACATATATAATGAGAAATATCATGGTACCAATTTTAAAAAGTTACAACTTGTTAATGTTTAAATTCCAATTAGAGTTAAATAAATCACACAAAGTACTAACCAGAGAAAGGAGCAGAAGTAAAAGATTTTATTTTTTCACTAAAAACCTAATAAAAACTGATTTTCAATGAGGTAATACTAAAAGAAGTTTCGTATAACTTAAAGTCTTTGGGGAAGTACCGTGCTGTGCTGCCGTTTTACAACGAAGATAATTTAATATAGGTAATTCGGTAATAATTTAAATAATTTGCAAGAACGTGACCTTCGCAGTTTTCTTAGGATTTAAAGACGTTTCTTGTTATATAATGCTGCCAGAAATACAACTCATACAAGAGTGTTCGCTTAATAGAATTTAAATTACCCGTTTCAGATTCGCAAGTTAAGCTTTCACGTGGGACTCGTATGCTTCCTCGAAACGTTAATTACGTTTCAAGTTTGTTTTCGTGCTTTCTATTCGTCTCGCTTCATTTCTCCCGGAAATGTTTCGCTTGGTGTATAGCAGCGCGAGAAGCGTGATATGCGATACGGAAAAGTTTCGAGCTATGGAGCGGCCATGGCAGGTTATTGCGCGAGAGTCTCGCCATTAGATCCCACTATATGAGTACATGTGGAAACACACGTGTCCCGCGGGAATATGCGGATTGAAAATGGACTGCAATAATCCTAAAGTCTGGCCGGTACGGCGTGTTATGCATTTCTCAGAAATACTCCTGTTACTTTCAACATTCGCTCCGAAATCTCTAGCTCCACCGCATTTTTCCATTTAAATGTCTGCACACAAACATGGCTCATGCTATACTTGCTAGAATTAATAACGAAAAACAAGTTTTGAAACCATGTTTTTACGAAAAAATGTACTGCGGTATGATTAATATTCTTGAAAATTTGATGAAATTGAAATTTTAGATATTTAATATTTAATATTAAATTTCATTAATATTTCGATTCTTTAAATCTGGTTTTTAATAAATATACATGTTTTGTATTAATCAAAATGCAAGAAAAATAAAAATACCTCTCTATTTATTTAACAGTACATTCTTTAAATATTCTTTCGTTTTTATATTCTCTGTTTTTGTTTGGCATCAGTTTACATATTATAAAATGTAATAGATTCTAAGTTCTATTATTTTAGAAAAATATATTATTTCTGTAATTTTTTAAAATCATTTCCTTTTCTTCTCTATGAAATCTCTAAAAAACAAACGACGCTGCGAGATGGAAAGAAAAAAAAATAAAAAGGATCTTCTATAGTTCCGAATCCGGTGTCGTCGTTCCTGCACTTTGACATTGTCGGAAGGGAATCGTGGGTTCGTCGTAGCGACATAAGAATCTTAGAGTATATTAAAACTTACGAGAATTTCAATCATGCAGTTTGCATTGTGTGTCCGCACGCGACTTTGTGTTTGGATTCCTGTGCAACAACTACTGCGATCGTCCCTTCCGTTTTCAACAATATACCGGGTCTGCGCGGTGGCGTTATATCGCCCTGACCTATCCACTTTCATACAACCCCCTTCCTCTCTTAATATCGTCCCTCGAGTAAATAGTTTCCAGTTTCCTGTCGTCGCCGCCTTCGGCCGCTATCTACCATCAATTCTGAACCTTCACGAGGATCGTAAGATAACCACGCTGGGCGAGTATATACCTTACCAACACCTTCGTTGGTTGATGATTTTCTCCTTTAAAGCGTTTCGGGAAAGATTGTATAGTTACGAACATACAATGCTCGTAAACCAGAAATAAGGATGACCACGTGTTGTCAATTATCACAAACGTTTCACTGATACTTTACTAAACAAGAGAGAAGTTTGTTACGAGAACGTTATGATGTTTTAATCGAGATAGTTAATTATAGTACGTAAGTTTTCCGCAGAAAGTTTCTGTTATATATTCCGAGAATAATATTTCGCAAAATCATAAATCGCGCGCATTGTTGATCGCTTTTCATAAATTTTGATTATACTTTAAAAATATGATTTATATCCATATATACATATGAATATATCCTAATAAATAACTTCATACATATTTTATAATTTTCTTCTTTTTTCGCTTCTTTTTTGCGAATTCTCTCTTACGTATTTTTGAAGTGTTTTTAAAAACTTTCGAATGAAGGTGCCGGTGCAAATATCGATCTCGAGTGAAAAATTTGTTTCGACTGCAGGAATATCGGACGACGGCATTTCCTGGTTTAAAGAGAGTCGGGAGAAGTTGTACGCAGTTTTGCCAGGTTTAAAAGTTTAAGAAGGCGGAAGCACGACGGTGTATCCAAGTGTAGTAGCAGCAGTGGAGGGTGTCTCGTGGTATAAATGGAAAGACACAAATGTATCCAGAAGGCGAGTAAACAGCACCGACTGGTTGCAGCCTAGCTCGCGGTTCAATATAAATGTAAATTGGAACAGATTCGAGCGAGCGCTGTGAAACACGTTTGGCTCCGAAGCCCAAGCTCTTCCACTGCTGGCCCTCTCGGCTTTTCTAGACTCTGCTGACCCTTTCGACTTTCTCGTTTACACACCTACACACACCTGGAGTAGACGGACAGGAAAATTTCATTTTCATTCTAGCGTACACGCTTCGAAAACGGACGCATCTCGCATAGGTGACGACGAATATTGCGCTTGATCAATCGTTCGAAAAACCGTTTCCGTACACGAACACATCCTTCTCAATTAAATTTCGACGGTCATTCGGTTTCCTGAATAAAATTCATGGATATCCATAGAATAGATGCTATTGATACCACACGCGATGAATTAGTTCCAGTCGGTATCACGCGCATTAATCATTGCTTCATTAAATAAAAAAAAAAACACGATTTTCGGATTGATCAAATGTACCGAACAAATCGACTAGAAGGTAAGCATCCATAAAAAAGAAGGAATATTGGCAAAGTAATGTGTGCTTTTGATACATAAAATCAAGCGAATAAAATACGTGTAAATTGAAAATTCATGAAATAACGAAGCGAATATGTTCGTTCTAAAGCGGAAGCTATCCGAGATATTTTAACAGAATTCTCGTCGCGCATTCACATATTTGAAATTATATGTGCTGCGCTGCGAGGAATGCATTTTATATATAACAGCTACGTACAGGATACTGATATAGTGTTTTAACATTATTCAAGATACGCTTTGTGCACGCTCTTATTTCATTACTTTCTTATTTCACCGCGTGCATTAATAGTAGTGTAAAGTGTTCTGAAACAAGAGCGTAATCGCTCGAAGAGACGCGTGTAAGTCCATGTTGCAAAATTACAACAGGATTACGGGGCCGCGAGCCGCTATTTAGTCCGGAGAAAGAAATTAACGAGTAAGATAGCGTGAGATACCGATAGATTAAGAAGACTAGACAGTTGGCGGGCATGGTATCTCGCGGAGACGGCTCTATCACGCTAATCTAGACACGATCTAGCGCCGGCGCTAATCTCATTCCAACACGAAGCAGTCCATGCCTTACCCTTTCCGTTACCACTGACGTCCAATCTGAAGTTGTCGGGACCCTTTTGCCCGTCGACAAGTTGACCAAGTCCCCCGGAGAGGTAACCCGCTTCTTCGCGGCCGTCGTATGTCCTGTCGGAAAGGTCAACCTCGGAACCCCTCTTGATTCCTTGGGGCATGGAATACGAAACGAGACCCTCTGGAAGAATAAGGAGAAGCCGGATATAAAGAATATATAAGCTTCTGAACTATGCATCATCACGTTGCTACGTGGGCCATGAACGTTTTCTCCCGACAGTACGTGATAAGATTGCGGACGGTTACGGGTAAAGCGCACGTCGTCGGGAAGAAGTAACGAGGGTCAACATTTTTAATCTCGGTGCACTGAGGATTACCGGGATCGATCTAAAGCGCTGTCACGCAATAACTAGACTAGAACTTCGTGCTGTGATGCGAATCTCACCGATCACGACGTCAAGCTCTCTTTCGTTCCGCAACGTATCGCACAGTTTTCGTTAAAAATGCGACGAAGTAAGCGACTTATGTCAGAACAAAATGTACTCCTAGACTGTCAGGCGTCAATAAGCACGAATGAGTTACACGGTTTGGTACTTGGGAGGGAAATGTCGCGTCGCTTCCTCATACCGATCGAGTATTTTTCCGTTCAATGGTGTTCAAATGGTAAATTGTTTTTACAAATTTCAGTATGAAATATGTGTACGAGATATATACTTCTCTGGTACATTTTGCAATGTTTACGTGAAATAGTTGAAAAAGACCGTTTTGATTAAAGCACCGATAAAATGAAAAATCAATTCCATTTGCACAGCTTTTTCATTGATGAGACTGGAAATAATATAGTATCGATTGTAATCATCTATTTGTTTATTGTATTTATTATAACCATTTTGTAGTTTTGTTGCAATCGATAATAATAATGATAAAGTCTTTGTCAAATGTAGAAAGTCTCATTACGATAATTGTAGAACATAATTCTATGTCTTCTCTCTTCTATATATCTTCCTTCTGTCATTTGCATGGTTACGGTTCTTACTTGGTAATGGCCTGAACGTTTGCTAATGCCATTCGTAAGTCACAATTTATTTTGCAAGTCAATATTATTGGCAGCCGCTGTAATTGTGCGTTTAAACGATATAACGATGGTCGAGGCTATGTGGATGGCACAGTTAGCGGCTGCCGCATAGTTCGTCGTGGTTGGATTAATGTAGACGCAGCTGTGGCTCACGGCCCACGGTGATCGTAAATCTATGTTAATCTCAGATTCAGGAGAGACTGACACGTTACATCGGCGTCTTGTCAGATAGTCAGCGAAGGTTGACGAAAATTCAAGTTCAAAATCTCGTGGCGAACAAAATGCGAATTAATTACATGCGATTCAATTCATCATATGTCTTCATAAATAAATGATGTTAAATAACATTGATAACATTATTAAGATAGATATTATTTATTAATATTACGTGCTCAAGGACATAATCTTCTAAAACGCCTCAAACGACATATTACGAATGCTACGTAGATTAAAAAAGAACAGTATAAAGCCTAATGATCTGAGTACAATAAAAAGAACAACAAAAAGAAAAAAATTAAAGAGATATAAAAAAGAGATATAAGGTTTTAAAGAGATATAAGATTTTCTTATTGTAGACAAGTTTGAAGTTTTGTGAACAAAGACGAAAATAAAGATCTTGAACTTTATGGCTAAATCTATATCTGTCGAATTCTTGTATAAAAATTTCCGTTCTTTTTTAGTACATCTATTCTGGTTTCAACCATCAGACTAAAGTAAATCTAAGTTACTGTTGAGGTTGTGACGATTGCTGTCTCTCGTCAGAGAGTAATTCTGGGAAAGTCGACTATGAAACCAATGTAAAATATAAAATGCATGATGACACGCAAGCGATTCCAAAGGGATTTCTACCGCTTGTTTTCAATTTTATTTTCATAAGTGTTGTGGTAGTGCAGGTGTTGATGAAATCACATATAATTGACTTTACTTATATATAGCGTGAAATTCATTTGTCACGGTAGCTGTTAACACGAAAGAGTAACAATATTCTATAATAATTTTATAAAAAAATATCAAATTATATCTTTTTATATTTCGAATAATTTTATATATTGCATCATTTTGCGTGCAGCGTGTTAGTGGTAAAATTTTTTCAGATCGGGCTGTAATATTTTTTTCATTTATTTTCAAACAGTTAAAATTGCAATAAAAAATATATGACAAACATTATGAGTTAAAATATATTGATTCAAATATATTTTCCTCGCCTGCAAGCGAAGTGAACAGCAACTTGTAAATGAATAGATGATGGGGAAACATGATAAAAAGGACTATGTTCACATATTTCACTCACTTGTCCATGAACAGCCGTAAAGCTCTACGCGCATACATACTGTGCGCATATGAGAGGTGTAAGGGATAAAACGGATTTTTGTTGCGATTACAGCTGGATCGAAGATTTGTTCCTCCTCCGAATATGGATTGTTATTGCCCACCAAAAGCTGCAACAAAAAAGAACAACACAATTGTTAATACGCCGTATATAGACAAAAATGGTTATGACAAAGAGAAGACAAGAAAAATATGGTAACGTTACCGAGAAAAGCTGCAATTTGTATTCAACAATTTGTATCACTGTTACATATGATATTTTTGCTGAAACGAGGGGTTTTTATGTTATCATGTACACACAATGGAGACGCACGATGAAATAGTTAACTTTAGTCACACCCAGATATTTCTATTCCGGTTGAAAAGCAGGAAAACAACAAGCGCGCATTTCAGCATCTGGTACAAAACCTGTTTTTTACACACTGTACGTATTTTTTTTTTTTTTTAGTTTATTATTCAGAGTATCGCGAATTTTTTATACTATACAATTTTCCAAAAGATGGTATTGAAAAAAAAAACACGGTTTTAATTCTATCGCTACACGGACTATATTTTCGAATACTTTAACAGTAGCATTTTTTTTTCAAAATCTATTCTACTGTTAGTTTTAAAAAAATGTAATTTTTTAAATTTCACATATGGTTTGAGAAATGTCAAAGTAATATCTATAGTTCGGTGTTGTAAGTTGAATTTAAAGAAAAATAATATCTATGATTTGTTCATGACGATGTATGAGAACACATGCAACGCGTAACGTTAGGGATAAGGCTGTCCGATATTCATTGGAACATGTTTACAACACTAAGAACGAATCTCACAGGCCGGAAGCGTCATTTTCCAGATCCGATTAGTAAACAATCGTCCGTCGTGAACCTCCTCTAAATGTAAATGCAAGCGTTAAATCTAGCTTGGAAGCACAGGTCTCCCTTTCCTCTCTTCTCTCTGCGCCATATACACATTCGCGTTCTGCATGTCGTATCGCGTCGCAGAGAGTACATATATATATAGGTCGTCGCCATCGACGAACATGAGATTAACATTGAAATACGAACGTCAGGGCGCGTCCGAGGATCACATCAAGTTCGATAGGATCGACCAGGTTGTTTGAGAAACAAAGTCTTAAATTCGACATATACGTATATTAGCACGTATACTGATAGACATGTTAGGGATAATAATATACTGTATCTGCATCCATGTTCGCTTGGAGCTATGTAATTCAGTAGCTATGTCTGTATCCTGTTCTGTTTTGCATTCTGAGCATTTGGACGGATTAGCGGTTCTCATTTCCCGTTATATTCGCGTCGTAAAATTTTATCTGTAATTACAAGCTTATCTCAGCAGCCTCTATAATGATAATATGCGCAACGAATGGATAATATTATTAAATAACATAGTGAACTATAAAGGAGATATTGTCTATGATAATATATCATTTCATCAATCATCGTTAATATTTGTCTTACAGAATTATCTAATTTTTTTCTCCTTTTCTGTGTTACGGTAAGAGATTGACGACTACAGCAAAGGTTTTTTAAACTCAGCTAGTCAGAAGATTGATCTGAACAAATTAATACATTTTTACATCGTACTTTATAAAAGAATAGATTAAACTTGATAACTGTTTTAACGATCATTTATATTAAATTTCATATGCTTCTACTTGAAAAGATTACTGACATCTTATTTTTGTATGCTTTGCAATATTAGGTTAAAACAGAAATACATAGCGCTACGAATTTTAAAATTCAGCTTCGTTAAAATAAACAAAATTTAAATTTAAAAAAAGTTTTAAAGTTTAAAATCTTTACTTTCAAAAGGTCCCTATGTGAATTTTTGTGAGTTTGATATGTAGAAAACTATGAATCGAGAAATTTTCTTCTCACTTTGTGAGCCTGTCACGTGCCCCTAAAAAAACTTGCGAAAATTTTCCTAACGTGAAAGTTTAGTTTTTCTTATAAAATCATTTTTTAAACATGTTTCTAAAATTTTTTGTTACTGAATTATCATAGATTAAATAAAAGGAGTATTTTGACTTTGATTGTTTATAACTCTATTAAAATCATCAAACCGCAATTTAAAAAACAAATTTAAAAAAGCTGAAACTTTTGCTCTATCAAATAGTAAAATAATTGTTAAATTTTTTTTTAAATGTAGAGATATGATATAAATGAAATAGTAACTCTTGCATCAATATAT